AAAAGGAATGATGAAAACCAATGAAACAAACAGAAATCTAAGCACAGACAGAGGGGGAGTAGCCCTAACCATAACCATTGGGAACTCTTCATCTGTGTGCGCAGTACTTCCTAGAGATTCAGCTGACCTTTGAAAATAATGGGCTCCATAGATGTATTTACTCCGCTTGCGATGTTCAAGGCAAGCCCCCTGGCTCCTGAAAACAGATTTCCACTCATAATTCAAACAGTGACTGTTAAGAGTTTGCCTGCTGTGTGGTCAGCTGATTCAGGGGAATGGGTGTTTCAGCCCTCCACCCCCACCACTTGTGCGTTCTCAGCCAGCCAGCCAGAGCCACCAGCCGCTTCCATAGGACAACAATTCTCTGTATACCTTTCACTGCCATTATGAATGCAGAGGCATTTTGCAGTGGCAACGGAGCATCCGCACAGCAATTTCCCCTGCTGCCTCCTTGCCTGAGCCCCTGTAGCTGCCATCCCCCACCCCGTGCTAATGGAAGGCTTTTCTCAGACTCCCCCCCCCAATCAGTATGAGGGGATGTGAATATTGAGAGGGAAGGACTGTGGACTCTGGCTCACACTGTCTCCAGTTAAAACGATTGGGTAGTTGGTGATGTGAAAGACCTCTGCCTGAGACCCTGGACAGTTAAATTAAACAAGATTACACTGTGCAAAAATATGTAATAAATAAATAAACTCATATAATTATAAACGTTATAAGTGTGCTTTATCTCAAATATAATAGTAAGCAGCAGTCATTTCGTAGAAAAAGAGGTGCAAGAGCTCATTAGTATAACTCATTAGCATAACTTATTTGCATATGCCACACCCCCTGACATGAGTGGGGCTTGTTGCATGTGCCCGCCCCCTGGGCTCTTTACTGCCGGAGCTCCGCTCCTGTGCGCTCCTGCAGGAAATGACCCCTGATAGTAAGTATAAATAAGATATAATACATATAAAACTACATATAAATCAAAAGTCAAAATACAGTCTCAAAGATGTCCATCCCAAACGTTTGAAAAACCTGACATAGGAAAACTTTCCAAAGAATTATCCTGCTGCGTAAGAAAGTTCACTTCTGACTTCGTTAGCGTGATGAAGCTTGTAGCCATTAAGGATCCATACCTAACAAGGTTTTGATAAAAGCTGTTTTGAAACTCTCTTTCTCAAGAGCTAACAATCCTTTTCTTCAAAGCTGATGATCCTTCTACAAACGGAATCCAATATATAAACATATAACAAATTACATCTAGTGCTCATCATTATAGTGGTTTTTTAAAAAAACTTGATTCTGATAAGACCAGTCACAATTTTCACAGGTAATAAGGTACATTCATGATGGAACACAACTGCCTCCAGATTTCAGTTCTTCAGCTCTGACATACTCCCACAACAGGCTTAGCATTCTTAATTGCCCTGCCTGCCAAGTTTTAAGAAACAGTATTCTAGCATTCCCAGGTGTTATCTCAATTAAATCCTTTAAGGGTACAGACTCATCATCCCTAATAAATTCATTTCTAATCTTGGTACAAACAGCTGTGTTCAAAACTGCAAACATTAGCTTCAAGGCTACTTTCATCGAAATGAAATTACAAGAGATCACCTAAGTTAAACAGAAGAAGGTTTTTTGCCAAATGAAACGACTAAGCAATCAAAGAGAAACCAGCACATATGTCTTCAGTTTGGTGTAGTGGTTAAGTGTGCGGACTCTAATCTGGGAGAACCGGGTTTGATTCCCCACTCCTCCACTTGCACCTGCTGGATGACCATGGGCAAGCCGTAGTTCTGGCACAGCCGTTCTTGAAAAAGAGCAGTTTCTGTCAGAGTTCTCTCAGCCTCACCTACCTCACGGGGTGTCTGTTGTGGGAAGGGGAAAGGAAAGGAGTTTGTAAGTCGCTCTGAGACTCCTTTGGGTAGTGAAGGGCGGGGTATAAATCCAATCTCTTCTACTTCTTCTTCAATGGGGATCAAATCTTATTTCAGTATGAGGAACCGCTTAACATGAAAATCCATGATGTTCCCGAGACTACTTATCTCAGGGGACATGACAATGATACAAAAAACAACCTAAATCACCACTTTGATTTAACTTAAGAGGTTCCAATGTATGAAATCTAAAGATGAATCATGCTTCCTGTTGGTGTAGTAATCTCATCATATCTGCTCTATTGTACGGGTGAGCTTTTCGCTTGTACAACACTACAAATCTTAGATCCCCTGGTAGATGCAGCATAGTAAGGAAATGGTTCACCATTAAGGCTTCAGTATTTTTATTTTTGATACGCAACTTGTGTTCAAGTACACATGTCTTAATTGCCCTCATAGAGCTTCCAATATAAGCTAATTGACATGAACAGAATACCGTATACATGATCCTCTTGGAGTTACAATTATAAAACTCTTTTAGTTGGAAATTACTGCCATTAGGGAATTTTACTTCTGCAGTTTCCCACACCAGTCTGCAGGCAGTGCAATTACCACACCTGAATGGCCAAAAACGTATTCTCTCTGTGGAGGTCCCAACATATCAGATCTCGTCAATATCTCTTTGAAGTTTTTTGTTTTTCTGTAAGCAATTCTAGGTTTGCTTTGGCAACCAAGTCGGAAACAATATGCCAGTGGCGATAGATTATATTTATAATGGGCAGAGCTAAAGTGGTAAACTCCATACTCCAAAAAAGACCTTCATGATTGTCTTTCTTGTCATAATTTTTGGCAGAGACTAGAATTCTAGACAGACAACTGATTCGGAGAGGGTATCCCATGGAGGTTTTGCACAGATCTAAGAACAGGGCTATAGAAACTGACAGGAAATTACTGTTTCCACAAGCTAAGAAAGACAAATCACGAAGCTACGTGGAAATGGTTGTTGGGCTGAACACTGTCCTAACATTTATTTCAAAGCTACGTGGAAAACTTCTCTTGGTTGCTGGGCTGAACACTGTCCTAACATTTATTTGTCTGTTCACCTGCTGTGTGTTGTCTAGAGTGTAATTAACATAATGTATGTCTGTGATAACTCTTAAGTGTTTCCTGTGTAATTATCTGCTGCCACTTTAACGGCTTGACTTTATGCAGCTGTTGAACAGGGTCTGATTATCTCGCTAAAGACAATCTCTCTCCCTTATACTGGCACAGTATGATCCACCAAGTTGAACACAGCCCAACAGCACCACTAACCATAGTTAACCTCAAAACAGAGCTTGCCATCAGAGAACCAGGTGTGTAAACTGTGGTTTGTTGCTAACCATTGTTTATATTAAAATTAGTATACTAACCAAATCTCCAGGTCCCACTAACCATAGTTACTGGTAATTGGAGAGATGGGGAATTCCTGCCAGAGACCATTGTGAGCTCTCTTGCCGATCACTGAGAAATTCTGTGGGGTTAACATCTGTGTAGGTCCACCAAATTCCAGATGTGCCTTTCTCTCCATGCATCTGAAAGCATTTTCAATGCTCCCTTTCACACGTTCTTTGCTCCTCTCTCATTCCCCCCCCCAAAAAAAATCTCAGCAAGCCAATCCTGCAAAGGGCGCTCAGTTGCAACACTGCCATATATATCATGCTTTGAATTCCCAATGAGTGGAGTTCTTATTTTCAGTGCTTTGGGAGACTTCCTTTACATTTTTACACGCACAGGGAAAAGAAAAGAAGGAAACCCTTTCATTAATGGTGCCACCAAACACTTATCAACATTGGCATCTTACATCTTCCAACACTGCACAGGTAAAAATAACCATACAGCTGTATATTTGGAACATGCACGACTGAACACAAAAAAAACATGAGCAGGTTGTGAGGTCCTCAACACATATCCCTTAAAAACTTCTCCTGCTAAAAGCAAACACCAAGATTATTCAGCTAGCTAACAAGGAGTTTTGCTAACTCCTAAAGATGGCCAGGAAATTCCCTACAGTCTAGGGTTGCCAGGTCCCCCGTGGCCACTGGCAGGGGATGGGG